TTTTTCCCAATTTTACCCCAAAATCCCAGTTCCAAACTCACCTCCAGAGGTGTCCCCGGGGCTGTCCCTGGGGGTGGCACCAGAGGTGACATCAGAGGTGACATTTGGGGTGACATTTTCAGCACAGAGCAGGAAGGCGCTGACGTGGGGGCCGCACTCCCCCACAGCCCCCGGGTGCTCCCGAAGGCAGCGCTCGAAGGCCCCGAAGGAGTCGGAGCAATCGCGGCGGATCTGCCGCACCAGGGGGCTGGAAAATGGGGAAAAAATGGGGAAAATTGGGGAAAATATGGGGAAAAATGGGGAAAAGTGGGGAAAACAATGGGGAATGGTTGGGGAAAATATGGGGAAAAATGGAGAAAGATTGGGGAAAAAATGGGGGAGGATTGGGGAAAATATGGGGAAAAAATGGAGAAAGATTGGGGAAAAAAATAGGGAAGGATTGGGGAAAAATGGGGAAAGATTGGGGAAAAATGGGAAAATATGGGGAATGATTGGGGAAAATGTGGGAAAAGATTGGGGGAAAAAATGGGGAAGGATTGGGGAACAAAATTGGGGAATAATCCAGGAAAAAAATGGGGAAAAAATGAGGAAAAATGGGGAAAGTGTCCTCAGTGTCCCCAGTCCCCCCAGTGTTCCCAGTTTGCGTCACTCACTGGTTAGATGCACAGCGGGCGATGCTGTCCCTGTCCCCCCAGTGTCCCCAGTGTCCCCAGTGTCCCCAGTTTGTCACTCACTGGTTGGACGCACAGCGTGCGATGCTGTCCCTCAGCCGGTGACAATCCCGGTGTCCCCATTGTCCCCATTGTCCCCAGTGTCCCCAGTTTGTGTCACTCACTGGTTGGAGGCGCAGTGGGCGATGCTGTCCCTGTGTCCCCAGTGTCCCCATTGTCCCCAGTGTCCCCAGTGTCCCCAGTTTGTCACTCACTGGTTGGAGGCGCAGCGGGCGATGCTGTCCCTGTGTCCCCAGTGTCCCCATTGTCCCCAGTGTCCCCAGTGTCCCCAGTTTGTGTCACTCACTGGTTGGACGCACAGCGGGCGATGCTGTCCTTGTCCCCAGTGTCCCCAGTGTCCCCAGTCTGTGTCACTCACTGGTTGGAAGCACAGCGGGCGATGCTGTCCCTGTGTCCCCAGTGTCCCCAGTGTCCCCAGTTTGTGTCACTCACTGGTTGGACGCACAGCGCGCGATGCTGTCCCTGTGTCCCCA